AGTGGGCTCAGTTCCTGTTTGCCTACTATTTAAGGCATATTCCATTAGAGCTCCGCTACTGAGACCAGACTCTACAGACACTGCCCACACCTCAAAGAGAGTATGATCTCACTTGGGAAATATTATTAAAAATAATGCTAATGAAAGAGTTCAGCATATTAATAAATAATTTTTTTCTGAAATTCGTTGTTAAAATAAATTTTTAAAAAAATTGTGTGGTTTCCTTATTATAATTACTTCATAATTAACCTCCCGGGTAGCGGCATAACAAAGCAAATAAAACCTTTCAATCAGTTAAGCTCTTCATTTATACAGTCTAGTTCCATGTTGAACTTTGTTACGTATTGATTACCTCAATTATTTTGCCAATAATATGTGCACAATTATATTAAAAGTTCCATAAAACAGCTTTTAGAAACACTTCATAAAAAAGTCATGCAACTGCCCCCAAAATAACTTTCCAAATCCAGTATTCTAACTTGAAATACAAACTTGTTGATCAAGAAGTACAAAAGCAAAATAGACAAAATAAATTATCATTTGATCTAAATCTACTCAAGTAAAAAATCTGAATCCAACAGCCATTTAAGATGTTACTGATTAAAAAAGTAGTTATATTTTTGGATTTAGTATTTACACAACTCAAAGTTCTCAAAACTTCAAATGCCTCTGAGATTTCAGAGGAGTGACCATCACTCACAGAACTTTAATAAGGCATGAAATCTGCAAAAAACTATTTCTTTTTCAAACACCACATTGCCTTTTTAATGATCCAAGAAGTGCACAAATGGTCAGGAAAAAATAAAGTTTTCAAAATTACTTGAGAATGTAATCATTATTCTACTATCTGATCAAGAGCAACTTCCAAATACTATATGCTGCTCAGAAAGTTTCTTTCATTAAAAAAGAAAAGAAAATAGGAGAGAATATTTCAGTGGCATATGCAATTGCAGCAAAACTGCCTTGTTATTATGTAAAACAGTACACAGGAATACAGAATTTGGCCTCACTAGATCAGAACAGAAGTCCAAGAAAATTAATGTTCTGTCTTTAGAAATCGCCGGAACCTTATGCTTTTAAAGAGTAATGAAGAAAAAACCTATTTTGCTTTAACAACGTGGCATTGTGATACACATAAAAAGGAACACATACAATATTTTGCAAACCTTGTGGCCATCAGTGTGCACCCTTCAGCATTAAATGTCTCTATTAGTACTTAATTTGTCCAGTTACTAATTGATTTAGCCCACAATACAATGCATTTCCATATTCTTAAGAAATCTTTAGGTGGATTAAACCAAAGAACTCTTGATATCCATTTAAATTTACATTCAGAATTTGTTTGTTCTTCCAAAAAAAGGGAAGACTTTATAATTGGAACTTTTCAGGATAGACATTTTCTCTTTTTAGGCAGTTTTCAGGCCTGTACAGTGTGTTTTAGAATTTTATATTATGAAGACCTGTAGCTGCAACATAATACAGTAGAGTTTCAAATAAAAGCCTCATTTCAACCAGCTGAATGGTATTAATATGGTATAGCCCGGCGGTATACCACATCCACAGGTATATCTGTGGTATACTAAAAACAGTATGGGTGCATAAGTCTTCAGAAACAGCTTAACAGAATCTTTCAGGCTATTAAACATAAAATTGGACTTTTATTTGTCTCCATAAGAATATGCTTTCAAGTTGAGGCACAGTTCTTCAGTAGACCCTCCTAGTATTATGTCTTTGGCATGGTCTAACAAAAAGCTCACTAAGTTGTTACAAATTTGGGAGGGTTTCAAGATACGAGAAGCAATGTAAGTCCCACACTGACTCTTGACTGATTCTCTTATCATTAAAGTATAATAAAGTATAATAAAGTATAACAGCTCTAACTACCTTCATATAAATTATTATTTAATGCAAAATATGCATACTCAAAGAGCAAAGCCAGAAGGCTTTGGAATTATCAAGGCAAGTAACTGGAAACAAAAGAAATGGAAACTTACTTGTATGGAGGTCAAGAAGATTTTGGGGATGATACAAATACTAATACAGGACAGTTATTGCAAATGCTACATTCCCATGTGTCTGCTCTACGCTTTTGTAGCCTTTAATGAAAATGAAAATCATTGAGCTACATTTGAGCACAAAGATACAATTATTTTAGAAAGCTCACAGTTTACAAAACAAAGGCTGCAAATGCAGGTACTTTCTTTGTGTAAAGGAATAAAAAAATGTTTCTTGCAGCTCATCTTTCTTTATCATGCTTTCATCAATAAATCAAACTCCATCTTCTTCATAACAACTTAAGAGGCTGAAAAGATGTCACATTGCATTCTCACACTCTTGCACATATGCTCAGGCACCCTATGAAGGAGATTAGAAGCTCTGCACAGGTCTTACTGTGTGTTTTAACATGCAGGTTTTGTGGGTAGATTTCCTGTTTTCGCTGCTCATTCAACTAACAGCAATCTTCACATTATGTTTATTTTACCCTTCCTGTTTTGCAGCACCACAGGCCTCTACTAGGTCATCACTGTTAACATGGTCACAAAGACTTAAACTTGTAAGTAGAGTGCTTGCAAAAGCATCAAATATACAAACAAATATATCAAATATATAAAAACAAATAAACAAAAATAATTCAGATTCATAAAACAATGAGCGTTTTATAAGATTTCCTTTTAGGTAGTATCTCTTCAGAGGTGCATAAATCATCAGTTTACATTGAATCTGAAATAAACATGAGCACAACAGATGCAGTATTATGAAGATTTTACTTAAAACTAATTATGTAAGTTGCACACACTGTTTTAAATGACAGCAGACTTAGCTGTCCATCAGTTTCAAACTGAAGTTAGTAACTTGCTTAAATTTTCTCAAGTCTTACTGCTCAAAATGGACTGATTTGATAGCCAGGTTATGCATCTTTAAATTTGACTTTATTTTTCAAGTTACTTTACTTATTTGTAGATTTTTTTTATTTTTTTATTTTTTTTTAGCTCAGGCACATTTTACTTTAAGAAGAGGTTTTGCTTATTAATTTATCATACTACCATAGTATTACATTTGACATATAAACCTAACGGATCTTAA